TTCAGTATCTGTCGCCTTCGAAGCAGGCAGGAGCAGTGCACTTTTAGGGTATGCCAATACCAGTCAACAGCTAGCTGTTTTGTTTATTATGAATATTCTTCTGAACATTCTAACAATTCCATTGAAACGCTCATTGAAAGCACCCATTCAATTGTTTTGAGTTACATCGCCAAGCATCATTTGCAAAGAAACAAACATTGAGGGACAAAATCATAAACAATGCAAAATAATGCACAATATAAACTTAAATTTGTTTCATTTCGAAATGAATAATGCAACAAATTTTAAACATGTTTAGTAATGATGCTGGCTGGAATCATTGTGCTGCAGCTTCCTCAGGTGGCGCCTTTCTGATAAAGCAAAACCAGAGTGCATACGCCGAGGCTGGAAACCATGCGAGAAGACACAGCAGTGAACAAATGAGAACGTGAATTCGACAGTACGTTGTATGAACAAATACAGCCAACGGCTGAAATTGTACTATTCATCAAACGATTCGAAACAAACAGCATGAGATTGTTGAAAGTTTATAAGAAATTCGACTTACTGGTAAACAAAAGCAAAGAATGAATTCAATTATGTTTTGAGGCTCCACAGCCATCCAATACACACGATTAGCACCTGAAGCACCGATGTGCAGTGCCCAAAGGCTGAAATTGATAGCAAAAATAACGCAATAACATTCATGATCACTTTAATAGATCGAGTGATTCAAGAAATGAATCTTCAAGTAGCTGAAATTCATTGGAAAATGAAAATTCTAGTGATGTCGCAATACAACAATCAATGAAAATGGTGAAAACTCACTTTATTATAAGATTATCGCACTCAGTAGTAGGTGTTATGATCAAGAGTGTGTTGTCATCTTCATGAACAATCAATTGGAAAACTGGTTGGACCGGCAGAAATATTAAGAAAATTCAACGAACAAAACAATCATCGATCGAAGTCAACTGTGATATCCATTGATTGTATGTCATCAAATGTGTACTATCAGTTTCAACTGCTCATTCTGATGCTCCTAAATAGTCTGATTACAAAGGGAAATTAATTGATCATGATTACGAGAATATTAGGAAATCTTTTAATATTCCAGTGCTCGTGTACATTGATAACTAGTGCTCTTGCGGATGTACTGCGCAAGTAGTACAGGAATCGAAGACGGGGAGAGATTCAGATGAAATTTTCAATTGGACAGCTCTGAAATAGCACCGCTTAAAAGGCAGATTGATGATAGGAACGAAGATGAAGGCAGGTAACGGGAACGCAGACCCCTGAGATTTCTCATTCACCACAGCATACTGCTCAGATCCACAAATATTAACGTATTCACGAAACAACTGAGATAAAGTCCATAACGGATGTTACAAGCCAGAAAGATAGCGCGTTTTATCGACATTGATTGATGCGATTTGCGGCACAACAAACATTTGCTATCGCGGAATCAATCTTCGAATTTGCAATTTCATGAAGATAGATGATTCCCAACGCTATTGTCACGAGCTGCGCAGAAAGCAGGATGTCAGGGAAGGAAGAATGTGATATTAGTGATATTGGTTATAATAGAGAAGCATAAACTCGTATTGAGTTATTGTAGTTGCTGATGGCATTAAAATAAAATTTATCTCATAGAATCTGAAGATTTGATCAGTAGTGTGCGGACTTTTTGGTGCCTGAAGGTGATACTAAAGATCTTTAGGACAAACATCAAGAAACGTGAGGTTAGCGACAATGACACCTAAGGGCACAGGATGCTTGAGTATGACTTATTTGGTACCCATAGTTAACAGTGGCATGGTCAGTGAGACTAAAGTATGGTTACTGCATGGAGCAACGTTTTGAGGATTTGAAAGATTCGTTTAGAGGTTGACAATTTGGTTGCATGTTTGATTCGCTTGAGCTAGGTGGCATCGTCTATAGCAGTGGTTTTCATAGGGGATGAAATTATCCATTTTGGGTAATCTGGAAGTGTCAAAGGGCAATGGAGGAGGTCGGGGAATTAGCATTTCGTGCAGTTGCTATTTTGTGATAGAACGCCATTGTGATGTTGTTTTTCAGCTCGGATATGTAAATGCGGTTAGTTGATGGCAACACTCTTCGTTCGGCCTAACGTGGTTTTCGCTTGTTTTAACATGGTTTTCATTCTTTTCCTTGCTGTTG